TACCTACAGGCTAAATAAATTAAAATATTATTAAATTTATTTATTTATTATTAAGTAACACACACCTATATACGTTAAAAAAAAAAAAAGAGAGAGAATTTCTCATTTTACTTTCTTAAATCTAATACTTTATACTCCTTTAATATTCAATAAAATATATAGGAGACTAAAAATTGATTTCTCTTTCTCATCCATTCTAAAAGCTTCAGCAATCAGCATGATGAGAGAATATTAGGTACCCAGTCAGCTTGTACACCTGGTACCCCAATCCGGCTAACTTTCCACCTCAGTTTCTTACTCAACATTGCCATTAACAGAGACGACGTCAACTTCGTTAAAAGAAAAAATTAGCAAGAGGCGATGCGTTGCCCAGATTGAGGAATCATCTTCACCATCGCCGGCCCCACCAACCAGCAGCCATCACTGAAAATAATGCCATCACTCGATGAGCCTTGGTTATCGGCACGTCGAATCGTCGACGCACTTGTGGCAAGCCAAGGCTCATCGAGTTTCATCGACGCGCTGAAAAAAGCAGCAAAGGTGTTAGAAGACGTTCACGACGGGCCAGTCTCCGCAGGTAAACCGGCCGTGGAAAGGCGTCAATCCTCCGTCGTTTGTTCCGCGCGCTACTCGCACCTCGAGATCCCTGTACACGCCTTTGGATTCAGCCAAGGTGCGTGTACGGCGATGCCTTCACCAAATGTATAGGCGGTCTACTGAGCGTCGTGGTGCAGGATTTCCATCTCCAGCTCGGTTTTGTCTCCGGTTCGGCTCCGGCGGAGATCGCAGTGGTCTATTCACACACCGGTCGGCCGGCGCTCTCGGATCCGGTTGGATCCAGCTAGGTGAGTTATATGCCGAAGAAGATAGAGATCTTCTGGTTGAATTGAAAGTTCCATCATTAGCTCTTGGGTGAACCACGCACTGTCCGTTCAATGATTTAGGTTTCATAAATTTTTTTTTTTTTTAAGGAAGTTGACTACGTCCCGGCATGTTGAGTATGAAGCTAATGTGGAAAGTTAGCCAATTGTCATGTATTTGTTGAATTGGGATGCTAGGTGGACAAGTTGACGGGGGTACCCAATATTCTACCAAGAATAACATAGTCGGATACATATCGACTATTGATAGTTTTCGGATTCACGCGCATACATCTCGATACTTCTTAAACATATCCATCCTATACTTCTAAAATATTTCAACTGCTTATCCAATATTTCTCATATACTTTAAAATACATTTCTAACAAATTTTGTACATTAAAATAAATTTTTTTTAATAAAAATAAGATAGTATAATTGATAAGAAAAGTTCAAATTTTATTAAATAATGACTAAAGATGATTGTTTTATTAGTTGTGAAACTAACTCGGATGTTAAATTGATGATTAAATTTAGATTCAAAATAGTTTAAAAAATTGACTAAAAATTAATATATATATATATATATATATATATATATATATATATATATTAATTTTCTATTATTATATCATGCTGCACCGTATCTTGTTTTTTTTAAATTTATCCTCTTACCATACTTTTATCGTGTCATATCAATATTTGTGCTTCTTAGCTTCACATATTGCATATTGCGTGTGCAAGAAGAAATTTTAAGAAGAGAGACAAAATAGAAAAACAACAACAATAACAAACAAAACAAAACAAATAAAATAAATAAATAAAAAGACAAAAGAAGAGAACATGAAAAATAGAAAACTTTAAAACATATTGACCATATTTTTTTTGGTGATTTTTCTAATAAATCTAGATACACTAATGAAGTGGAAAATTGGGCTGAGCCCAAAAGGCCAAATTTTTAATACAAATTTTGAATTTAAATTTCTCCAATCTCAAATCCAAGGCACGGTGAAATTTACAATTTAAAGTAGTGAAATTTCAAAGTAAATAGGTAAAGTTACACCGTGAGGTACTGCAGAAATAAGTCATCTGGAGAGAATTTTGAGTCACTTTTGAAAGCCAGACATTAGAAAGAAAGATTAAAATCATAATCAAAATATAACTTGTATCCCCTCAATATATATATATATGGGTCAAGTGCAGAAAATACTCTAAAAAACACCCCTAAATTATGACATTTGTGCAAATAAGTCATACTCACACATTTATGACTAAAATGCCCTTAGCTACACATTTAATAATATATACAAAAAAATTAATATTTTGTGAAATGACTAAAATGGATAACTAAAAAAAACGCACAATCTATATACACCATGCCCAGTTCGCCATCTATGTACACCATGCTCAGTTCGCCAGAGGAAGAGAAAATGGCATTTATTAAATTACATTTTGATCAACCAAAAGCGCAGTCAAATAAACCTTTCCATGCTTCACCCCACTCGAATCCGACTTATTATTCACCGCCCATTTCCACCTTCTTGTACCCCAATTTTTCGATCAAAGGTGTAGAAAACTGTTAGGATATGTGTGTCCTAGCATAGCAAATTCTAATTTTGGATTGTAAAAGTCATGATTTCTTATTTGAATATTATTATTAAAGCATTATACAATTGGTGAATGAAATGTATTATTTTTCGATTCTTTATGGAATTGATGGTGTCTGCTTGATTACAAAATATATTTATATATGTATGTAATGGCAATTAATACTATGTTATAAATTAGTAATCATAAATGGTTTAAAGTCGGTAATTATGGATGGACATTTAATTAGTTAAGACTTAAACCGAGTTCACGATAGATTGAGATATATTGCGAGAGCTGTCGTATGCAATTGCTCTCTATCACAGTCATGGCTTTTGACTCTCAAGCATGAGAGAAGTATAGACTCTTTTATTAATTAATAATTACTTTGATTTGTTCGGCGGATACCTCGGGATCCTTAGATCGACACTTTGGGTAGTTATGTAATTAATAATTAGAGGTCTATATTCTCAATATTTGCATCAGTACTATTTGTATTTATTTTGTTTTGATTATGATTGATCACAAATTAAATTCGAAGGCCTTCGTATGTTTTAGACAAATGTTTTCTATATATATTTATTTAATAAATTATTATTATTTTTTGTCAAATAAATATTTTATTGTGATCGAGCCGAAAATAATCAAAGGTAACAAAATAATTGTATTAATTATGTTGTCGGATTGATGGCTTTAATTATCCGATAAATAATTAAGCATAGAGGGGTCAAAGTGCAACATTGACTTAGAGGTTATTTACTATTTAATTGGAGTGCAATTAATTTCTTTTAGTGGAGTAGAAATTAATTTGTGAATTAATTGAATTGGGTCCATGGTTTAATGGACCGGACCAATTATTAATTTATAGGAGCCAAGAAAATAGTAAGCTCAAAAGGATTCTCACCAATAGCCCAAGTTGATATTGGAGTCATGTTAGAATTGAGAAAGTTAAATTAGAGATGGATAATGATTTATTGTTTCCTTATTCTTATTTTTATTTTGCCTATATATACATGAGTTCATGTATATTTTAGGTGTGACTTGGAGAACAAGAAAAAGAAATACACTTTCTCTCTCTAGATTTTAGGGTTTTGTTTTCTCTTCTAAAGGTTACTACCACCAGCCTAGATTCCAAGATCATTTATCAAGGCATATTGGTGATTCCTAAAGGAAAGATAATAATCGAACGAAAGGAGAAAGGATCTTACTAAAGGGATCTACAATAAGTGATAACATTCACTTTAGAGGAAAGTTCAAAAGGTTTACTCAAACCTTTGATATAAGTATTCAATCTGTTTATTGAATTATGCATCATCTTTTATTTATCTTTACATAAAGTTTGTCTTTGTGTGATGAATCAAGATTCGTAATTGTAAATCCCTCAAAAATTTTAAAAACTTGAACGTTTCCCAACAAAAACTTCCCAAGATCAGCACTTTTGCTAAAAAAATGGTCCAACCAAAAGTACCCAGCACCTCTCAAAAGTGCCAAAAGCTGTGTTTTTCAGAACCCAGGTTAAAATAAATAAATAAATCAATTAGTTTCTTATGAATTCAATGAATTTTGTTACCAATTTGTGATCATATGTGGAAAGAACCTAATTACCCATTTTTGTTCTTGTTTTCTTGATTGGATTTAAAAATTTAAAAATTCCAATTTAGGAACACTAACAAATTATTTTTTTTTTTTCTTTTCTGAAATTTCCGCAGTTGTTGTCTCTTGTTCTTGTTTTTCACAGTGAGAAGGTTGAAGAAAGTGGGTAGATAAGATGAGTCAACACTCTATCAATATCATAGAACAAGAACTCCATTGCCGTCACCGGTATCCACCGGTGCTGCGTGCCCACACCTCACAAGATTCACAACGCCGTCGAACACCAGCAGTCGCTGCTGCAATGGCACGTGCAGCGGCACCACCCTTCTCAACGTCGCCGCCTCATCATACGGCGCACCCAAATTCACCGTAGTTGAAATCACTGTCATGTTTTGTAGCTTCATTTGATCTGCAAATGTGCCAGTTCCACCGGAATCCATGGTTTGACACCGCAAATGTGCCTGTCACGAAGTGCTTGACCAGCGAGTCCACCCACATTCGGGCCACTCGTTCGGACCTCGGTCTATACCCAAAAAACGCACTGGGTCTTCCAGTTCCACTAGTCCTGTCGATCCGATCTCTAGTGATCTGCCCTTTCACGTCTTAGCGATCCACCCTAATTCATTCAATAGCCCCTCCGCATCCCTCACTCGCTAGCTGTCCCCTTTCCCTCCTTGCTTTTGTGGGGTTGTCCACCTGCCCGGCCCTTCTGGTTTCGCAGACCGTTCTCCTTCGCCGTGGTTGCAATTTTGGGGTGGAGATTAAGTAAGGTTTGGTAGGGGTATTTTTGGCAAAATAAAAGGGTAAATTAGGTATTATATTAATTGAGAAATGTTTTTGTACAAATTGAAAAGAATATAAATGTTTTCTGAACACCTTTTTAAAATAGGGAATAAAAGTATACTTCAGTTTTTTGCACTTTTTCCCCCATATATATATATGTATATATAAATTTTACTTTCATGCTATTGTATGATATCCTGGTGAAAATCCATGCGTGACACCAGTTACATTATCTACCTTTCAGCCTTTGTTCCTCCAGTCTCTTCTCAAGAATCTTCAATTGCATGACAATGCTCTGCTAATATTAGCCAAGTTTTGGCGTTGAGAAACAATATTATTATCACAAACTGTAAAATTTTCAAAATGCTCTAATCATACTCGAGTTGAAGAAATTACAAGAAAAAAGTTCAAAATCGCCTATCGCAATTCGAAGAAGCCCATCCAATCATCCTTCTCTCATTGTCATAAACCACCACCTTGTCATAGAAATGTCTGTAAAAGTAATAGAGGTTAACTCAAATCAAATCAACTCTTGCACAAACAAAATTTGTGTATTTGGGTTTTTGTTCTTTAGCATTTCTTACCTCCAATGATATTCGGATGTTCCAAATTTATTTCGCCAGCATTCAGAATCCCCATGCACACATTGCCACGAGACTGTAAAGCAAGAGCTTGTCAACTGTCCAAGTTATGAATGTATTATTGTTCTATCTTTTAGTCATAATTCAAGTAAAACTGGTCTCAAGATGTTCTTACAGTCACGATGAGATAATTTTCAGGTGGTAATGCGAAATGAACATTGTTCCTAAACCTTAACGCTGAGGGACTGAAGTAATTTTTGACTGCTTCTATGGATCGAAAAGGTTTTACACCTTTCCACACACTGGTAGTTCATCCTCAACTGCCTTTAACGGCTTTGTTTTTATCTCGGTCATAATCTGAAAACACTAATCAGAGTGAGTTTTTTTTTGCCTTTCCAAAGTTCAAGCAAACGTGCGTGCACACACACACAATATTGCCCTAGGGCTTGAACACTCAACCTCCCCACCTTAGAAAGTGTATTGACGCATGTATGGGAATTGAGATAAGTGTAGGTGCTCCCACTATCAAAAACTATATCAAGATTCTCGGCAACCAGAGAATGCTCACCAAGCGGGAGGTCCACTGGTCCAGACAAGTAGTGGTTCCTGAAATAAATCACAATGAGATGATCAAAAGAACGAAGTGGCAATATGAAGTAGTTCCATGGGAGTTCTTACTCACAAGGGATTGGTTTCCATTGGCGTCCAAACAATTCCTGAAGGGACGAGACCATCTCCAAAGAAAAGAAATCCTCCCCCTCGCCTACTGAAACAATGACCAATTACATTCTGTGTTAGATTTAGACTGTGTAGCTGCCGCAGAATGCTTGATTTGCCATCAGCAAGGCCAAAAACTCCATCGACAGGAAGTCCTGATGGATCAGAATTTTTTTTGATGGTATCCACACCTGCCAATGAGTCATGAGAGAGTTAGTTATAGAAGCTAAAGGCAGAACATAACAAAAAAGATCGAACCATCTCAAGACAGGTATATAGCTAGGTGCAATTGATAAAAACTACTGCCCACCCACAAGTGATAAAATTGTGGACGTCGCGTCCACGTTGATATTTCTCGTGGGTGATGTGATTTGGATGGATGTGTTTGGCTATATAATTGGGTGTATTTCAGAAGACAGTATGTGCATTATAGGCGCATCGGGGTATGCGTGTTGTGTGTGTTGGGATTTATATGCTCTGGTATAGTAAATTTCTATCTGGATTACAGTGACATATGTTCCTGACATATCTGAAATATTTATGATTTATATAATTGGTGAATTTAATGTATTATGTTTCGATTCACTATGAAATTGATAGTGTCCCTGTGATTACAAGAAATATTTATATATATATGTAAGTGATGGCAATCAATGCATGATATATAAATAGTAATTATAAATTGCTCATAATCGGTAATTATGGATGAACTCATAATTAATTCAGGCTTGAACTGGATCCGCGTTAGGTTGAGATATATTGCGAGAGCCGTCGTATGTAATTGCTCCCTATCATCGTCATGACATTTGACTCTTAAGTATGAGAAAATTATAGATTCTTTTATTAATTAATAATTACTTTGATTTGTTCGGCGGATTCTTCGGGATCCTTAGACCGACACTTTGGGTAGTTATGTGATTAATAGTTAGAGGGTTATATTTTCAATATTTGCATCATTACTACTTGTATTTATTTTGTATTGATTATGATTGATCACAAAATAAATTCGAAGGCCTTCGTGTGTTTTCAGACAAAATAATTTATTATATATTTATTTATTTAAATTATTATTTTTGTCAAACAAATGTTTTATTGTGATCGAGTCAGAAATAATCAAAGGTACCAAAATAAATATATTAATTAAGTAGTCGGATTGATGGCTTTATTTATCCGATAACTAATTATGCATAGAGGGGTCAAAGTGTAATATTGACTTAGAGGTTATTTATTATTTAATTGGAGTTCAATTAATTTCTTTTAGTAGAGTAGAAATTAATTTATGAATTAATTGAATTGGGTCCATGGATCGGGCCAATTATTAATTCATTGTAGCCAATAAAATAATAAGCCCAATGGATTCTCACTCATAGCCCAACTTGATATTGGAATCATATTAGATTTGAGACATGTAAATTAAAGATTGAGAAGGATTCGTTGTTTCCTTTTCTTTACCTTTATGTTGCCTATAAATATACATGGTCTATGTATATTTTGGGGGATAATTTTTAGAAGAAGGAAAAAGGAATTTATTTTCTCTCTCTAGAAAATTAGGATTTATATTCTCATCTAATGGAGGCTCCCACAAGCCTAATTTTCTAAGATCATTCATGGAGGCTTATGAGTGATTCCTAAAGGTAAAACAATTACCAAGAAGATGGAGATCCAAGGAGAAGGCATCTTGCTAAGGGATCTACAATAAGTGAGAATATTCACTTTAGAGGAAAGATTTAAAGGTTTACTCAAACCTTTGATGTAAGTATTCAATCCATTAATTGAATAATACATCATATTTTTATTTTTGTATAAAACTTGTCTCTATGTGATGAATCAAGATCTATGAATCAAAATTCCTCGAAAAGTTTTTAAAACTTGCACGTTTCCCAATAGTGGTATCAGAGTATGGTTTGATTCATTACTAGAGATCATGTTTTTATGAAATTCATCATCATGGATCCAAAATTATATTCATATATATTTTTTATTGATGTATGTTGATGTATGATATAATATGTTGATATATATTGATTGATGTATGTATAATTGTGAATGGATGATGATTTGTGTTTGGGCCATGGATGAAGCTTATAGGTTATTGGAATGTAATTTTATCTTTGGATGAATGTAATTAAGGCTTCGATTTAGCCGTTTGAAAGTTCAATGATGTAATTTAATTTTTTCCATTGTATTTCAAATTGTAAATTTATTTAAAGCCATGTAATCTTCATCAAAGGATGCTATGAAGCTTCAAAAAGGTCCATGAGGGTTAAATTAGGCTTCAGGAATTTTATTTTTTAGAAATTTTTCGGAATTTTTCTGGTTTTTTTAGGGCCTAAATTTAATTTTTTTGGATTTTTATTATTATTTTCGGCGGTTTTCCGGCGAAATTCCGGTGACCGGAGCGCCACCGGCAGTGACAAGAACATCGGAATGTAGGATGGTAATCCCATGCTTCGCGGTGCACCATCATTTGGTGCAACCGCAGCAAGGGACCGTTGGATGCAGATCATGCGGTTGAAGATGATGTAAAGAAAGGAAACAACTAATCATTCTCAATCTCTAATTCACATGTCTCAAATCTAATATGATTCCAATATCAAGTTGAGCTATGAGTGAGAATCCATTGGGCCTATTATTGTATTGGCTACAATGAATTAATAATTGGCTCGGTCCATGGACCCAATTCAATTAATTCATAAATTAATTTCTACTCCACTAAAAGAAATTAATTGAATTCCAATTAAATAATAAATAACCTCTAAGTCAATATTGTACTTTGACCCCTCTGCATAATTAGTTATCGGATAAATAAAGTCATCAATCCGACTACTTAATTAATATATTTATTTTGGTACCTTTGATTATTTCTGGCTCGATCACAATAAAACATTTGTTTGACAAAAATAATAATTTAAATAAATATATATAGAAAACATTTGTCTAAAACATACGAAGGCCTTCGAATTTAATTTGTGATCAACCATAATTAAAACAAAATAAATACAAATAACACTGATGCAAATATTGAGAATATAGACCTCTAATTATTACTTACATAACTACCCAAAATGTCGATCTAAGGATCCCGAGGTATCCGCCGAACAAATCAAAGTAATTATTAATTAATAAAAGAGTCTATACTTCTCTCATGCTTGAGAGTCAAAAGTCATGACTGTGATAGAGAGCAATTGCATACGACAGCTCTCGCAATATATCTCAATCTATCGTGGACTCGGTTTAAGTCTTAACTAATTAAATGTTCATCCATAATTACCGACTTTAAACCATTTATGATTACTAATTTATAACATAGTATTAATTGCCATTACATACATATATAAATATATTTTGTAATCAAGTGGACACAATCAATTCCATAATGAATCGAAAAATAATACATTCCATTCACCAATTGTACAATGCTTTAATAATAATATCCAGTTAAGAAACCATGAGTTTTACAATCCAAAATTAGAATTTGCTATGCTAGGGCACACATATCCTAACAGCTCCCACTTGCACTTATAGCCAATTCGAATCACATCTAACTCCCATGTTCTCCATATAACGATCAAACATCTTGATCGGTAAAGCCTTTGTGAATGGATCAGCAAGGTTATGTTCCGATGCAATCTTGGCCACAAGTATATCTCCTCGCTTTACTATATCACGAACCACATGATGTTTCCTCTGATTGTGTCTTGTTCCTTTATGAAATTTTGGGTCCTTGGTTTGAGCTATAGCTGCACTATTGTCGCAATAAAGCGTTATAGGCCGATCTATGTGCTCCACAACCTCCAGTTCAATTAGAAAGTTTCTCAACCAAACAGCTTCTTTTACTGCCTCAGAGGCTGCAATGTATTCTGCTTCCATGGTTGAGTCAGCAGTACAACCCTGCTTGACACTCTTCCAACTAACTGCCCTTCCATTGAACTTAAACACATATCCAGATGTAGATCTCCTGGCATCTGGATCTGATTGAAAATCAGAATCCGTATATCCGACTGGAACCAGATCATCACCTCCATAAATGAGTATGATATCATTGATTCTCCTTAGGTACTTAATGATATTTTTCACAACAAATCAGTTGTCAAGTCCAGTATTGGACTGATCTTTACTGACTATCCCTACTATGTAGCGGATGTACTGTTTGGTATAGACTATATCATATATGAGACTCTCATATGCCAAAGCATATTGTTCCAGTCTCATTTGCTCAATCTCATTTGATAGTCTTGAAAAACTACTTACTAGAGAGAGCAATCCATATCATTAAAGCAAGAACTCATTCTTTGATTTATGCATACCAAACCTGGTCAAAACTTTATCAATGTAGGATTATTAAGATAAGCCTATTTTCCTTTTAACCTGATCTTGCAAAAGCTTGATCCTAGGAATATAGCTTACATCTTGAAAATCCTTCATTTAAAAGTAATTGAACAACTACCTTTTTATTGATGACAAAACTTCCACGTCATTATAAATGAGTAGGATGTCATCAATATATAAAATTAAGAAAAATAATGACATTCCCTTGTACACTCATGATTTATTCACTAAGAAATCTTCTGGTATCTTTTTGTAGATTAACTTGCCTTCCATAGGTATCACCTTACTAG